AAGCAGATTGCCTGGGTTTCTGTTTTGGTTAGACTGAGCGTTCCCATGCCAGGGCAGGGGCTTGTGTAATTCAAATCTCCTGCCAGCGCCAAAGGAAGGAGCACTCAGGCTTTTATATAAGTTTATCCACAAGTTGGAGAACAAGGGAAAGAGAAGAGGATGAGGCTTAAAGGCTGTCAGTAGCCATCAAATAGATGTGTTTACATATTTACAGTGTGTTTCTACTTGTGTGTGTGTGTGTGTAGACAGGCATGTGTATAACACCTACCCATACATCTACATATTTATATATACATACTAGTGCCCTGGTACACAAAATTCGTGCACATTAAAAGGGAATTAATTCGAGGAAATATTTTAATATTTCTATTTGCCCTTTCTCTATAATAGAAGTGTCAGAGATGAAAGAAAATTAGTAAAATGTATATGAAAATCTCCCTCCTATCAGAGTCTGGAGTGCGCCATGGTACCCAAAGTCCCTTCCATCCTCACACGAGACCCAGACCCAGTCGGCCCCACCCCCATCAAGCCCCACAGGGCGGGGGTGCAGTCTCAGGTCCCTTGGTGCTGGGGTTGGTGGGGGGACACATGGCCTCAGGTCCCCCATCAAGCCCTGCTGGGTTGGGGGGGCAATTTCAGTTCCCCTGGTCCTGGGGCAGGGGGCTTGGCCTCAGGTCTTCCGGAGCCCGCTCCGGGGCGCGGTGACCATTTGCAAATTAGCTCTTTATTATATAGGCTATCTATGTATTGCAACTGCCTTTTCTCATCAATTGCTTCATGTTAGTACATGTAGATCAACCTCAGTACATGTAGATCAACCTCATTCTTTTAAGTTCTAGGTGGTGCATAGATCTCCACTATGTGGATATGCCATAGTCAGTCATTACCTTGTTTATGAGTAAGTTGCTTCTGTGTTATTTCTCTATGGTTTTACAAGGGGACAATGAGCGTCATGCACCCTACACGTTTGTGCATGTGCAACTGTTATTCAACACATAGTCAATGAGCTTTATGTTACAGATACTGGACGAGTGAAGGTCCCCGATTCTTTAAAATTACACTGTAGTGGCAAAGGGACATGGGACAGCTAATTAATGTCAGATATGAGTGATGCTATGTGCTATGCAAACATAAAATAGGGAAAGGAGACTGATGAGGGTGGTCTGCAAATGCTAGTACAGGGTGGTGGGGAGGGCTCTACAATAGGACACAGACATGAGAATGAATGGAGTATGTCTGAAAGAAAAGCAGAATTTTTAGAAAAGCTCTACTGGGTCATTTTTAGGTTAAAGGATGTACATATTTTAAATTGTGATGACCTTGTCAAATTTCATTTTAAAAAATTTTATGCATTTCATGATATAACGTATTAACCATTCTTAAGCATCCATGTTTCATCATCACCAAAAGGAATAGTAACCTTTTCTTTTAAGCCTTATTAATATGGTACAAAATAGCCGAAACTGGTTTGGCTCAATGGATAGAGCGTCAGCCTGCGGACTGAAGGGTCCCAGGTTCAATTCTGGTCAAGGGCATGTAACGTGGTTGCGGGCACATCCCCAGTAGGGGGTGTGCAAGAGGCAGCTGATCGATGATTCTCTCTCATCAATGTTTCTAACTCTCTATCCCTCTCTCTTCCTCCCTGTAAAAAATCAATAAAATATATATTTAAAAAAAATATGGTACAAAATACATTATATCATCTTAATCTGTAATTTTTTCCTTTTTTAGTAAGGCTGAGCACCTTTTATTATCCATTTGTATTTTTTTTTTTTTTTGTAAATTGTTTAATGTGATTCGCAATTTTCCCACAGGCTGTTAGCCATTTATTACTATAATACAGATACTTATTGTTTGTTGTTTACTTTTTTATTTTTACTCTGTATTTTTTTTTTTTTTTTGGCATGCAAAATTTAAAATTTTTTACCAACTATTTCATTTGTGTTAATGTTTTGTGTCATACTTAACGGCCTTCATCACTTGTTTATCCATATTTCTGAAACACTGAAAGTCAACTTATGCTTAAGGCCTAAAGTAAGGTTCCAGCTTTAAAAAGCAACAAAACACCTGGCTGGTTGTGCTGGGCCATTAATCATCCTTGTGTTTTGACTCATCTCAATTGATTTACTACGCCTCTATTAGAATAAATTAGATTTCCATAGATTCTTGCATCTATTCTGGCACCAACCACACTGTTAATGATTGAAACTTTTAATATCTTTTAGGCTAAAAACCTCTCTCAGACTCTTCTATCGCCCAGACATGTTTTCAGATTTTTAAAAAAATATATTTTATTGATTTTGTACAGAGAGGAAGGGAGAGTTAGAAACATCGATGAGTCACCGATCAGCTGCCTCTTGGGGATATGCCTACAACCAAGGTACATGCCCTTGACTGGAATCGAACCCGGGACCCCTCAGTCCCCAAGCCGACGCTCTATCCATTGAGCCAAACCAGTTTCAGCTGTTTTCAGATTTTTTTTCTTTCAAATTAATTACAGAAACAATTTTTCCCAAAAATTGATTTTTAAAAATCCTAGTGGGATTTTGATTGAAAATCCATTAGCTTTACTTAGGGTTTTTTTGTTTGTTTGTTTGTTTGTTGTTTGGACTTTTTTTTATTATTATTTTTTAAATACATATCTTATTGACTTTTTACAGAGAGGGAGAGAGATAGAGACCTAGAAATGTCGATGAGAGAAACATCGGCCAGCTGCCTCTTGCATACCCCCTACCGGGGATGTGCCCGCAACCAATGTACTTGCCCTTGACCGGAATCGAACCCAGGACCTTTTAGTCCGCAGACCGAGGCTTTACCACTGAGCCAAACCGGTTTCGGCTGTTTTGCTTTTTATATCCCTGCTTATTTTGTATCTAGTTCTATCAATTGCTGAGAGAGAGAGGCACTAAAGTCTCCAATTGCATGTGGATTTATCTATTTCTCCTTTCAGTTTTTACTGGATGCACTTTTTAAAAATATATTTTTATTTCAGAGAGGGAAAGGGAGAGATAAAAACATCGATGAGAGTGATTATTGATTGGCTGCCTCCTGCATGCCCCCTACTAGGGATTGAACCCGCAACCCAAGCATGTGCCCTTGATAAGGATCAAACCCAGGACCTTTTAGTCTGCAGTCCAGTGCTCTATCCACTGAGCCAAACCATCTAGGGCTACTCAATGCATTTTTTAAAAAATATATATATATCTTATTGATTTTGTACAGAGAGGGAGATACAGAGTTCGAAACATAGATGAGAGAGTGTCATCGATCAGCTCTTGCACACCCCCTACTGGGGATATGCCTGCAACCAAAGTACATGCCCTTGACCGGAATCAAACCCGGGACCTTTCAGACCCCAAGCTGACGCTCTATCCATTGAGCCAAACCGGTTTCAGCTACTCAATGCATTTTGAGGCTCTTGTTTGGTGTATAAATCTTTAGGATTGTTGTCTTGGTGGACTGAAATCTTTATTAGGTAATTAGAGGCCCGGTGCACAAAAACTCATGCTCTCAGCAGGGGGTGGTCCCTCAGCCTGGCCTAAACTGGCAGACATCCCTCTGGCAGCCCGGGAGCCCTCGGTGGATGTATGACTGCAGGCCTAAGCCGAAGACATCCTTAGCACTGTGGAGGCGTGAGAGGCACCAGCTACCACCAGGGTGCAGCTCTTGCATTGATTGTCTGCCCCCTGTGATCAGTGCACATCATAGCAACCGGTTGTTCCTCTGTTAGCATCAATTTGCATATTACCCTGTTATTATATAGGTTGTCCTCTTTGTCCCTGGTATGGGCTTTTACCAGATCTTTTTGATATAGTGATTTTGGAGTAGGGCCTGAAACCTGCACTTTAACAAACTTCCCAGATGATTTTTTTTTCTAAATATATTTTATTGATTTTTCACAGAGAGGAAGGAAGAGGGATAGCTAGCTAGAAACATAGATGAGAATCATCGACCAGCTGCCTCCTGCACACCCCCTACTGGGGACGTGCCTGCAACCAATGTACATGCCCTTGACCGGAATCGAACCCGGGACCTTTCAGTCCCCAGACCGACGCTCTATCCACTGAGCCAAACCGGTTTCGGCCCCAGAGGATTTTTTTAAAGCAAGTATTACTCAGAATTCTCACTTGCAAATAACAGAAATTACTCTGGTTAACAGAGAAAGGCATCCACTGGACTGCTCAAGTCCTGCCAGGAAGCAGAGCCTGTGTTCTAGGGAGACCAAGACAACAAAGCAGTTGCTCTCCCTGACCCCAGCTGGTTGAGCAGTTTGAGAGCTAAACTCGACTGACCCATCAGGGTGCCACACCACCTAGGACTTCGAATCTGGTGCAAAGGATATGAGGTGGGGAGAGTTTAAAGTTCATTTTGTGGGTGGTAAGAATTTTGATGTCCAATAATAAAAGGGGCAGCACTGGCAGAATTTAGACACATGCCTAACTATTATGTGATCTGGTCATGATTCAGGCTGCCCAGTCTCTTGGTTCCTGCATATTTTACTTTTTCTGAGCCTGGTTTCTCTCCCTTATAGATGGACACACACACACACACTTATACAATACCTGTTTCATTAAAAAGTGTATGTACTTTATTTTGGGAAATAAAACCAGAAATAATACATAGGCCAACTACAAAATAATGAGGCTAATATCATGGGTTCTACTGCATGCCAAATGGGATTATTTACCGTTCTGGAAGGCCACAGACCAGCACAAAGGACAGGTTCTCAAACTGCCTATCTAGAGAGGACCTAAGTGGTGGTAAGAGCACTGAGCTGTTAGTCTGTTTGTGACTTTGGACAAGTGGTCACTTAGCTCTGACAGCTTAAGTCTAAACTGGCCAATGCATATTGCCAGTTGCCGTTCATGGAGGAATCCCACAAAGCACAACACAGAATGGCTATAAAGAATCTTCATTTATGTTTGGTGAATCCTTTCCCCTTTGAAGGATCAGTATAGAAGTGCCTGGGGCACAACTAATTAATTCTTTGTGATGTGCAGGTTCTGATGAGCGCATCGTTGCTGGGGGCCCTGTGTCTTTTCTCATCTGTCTGCATTGTGTGCGCCATTTCAGCCTTTACCCTGCCCATTGAGACCAAAGGTCGGGCCCTACAGGTAAGTGATGCAGGGATCTAAACCCCCCCCATCCTCACTTTTAGAACAAAGAAATGAACTTGGGAGTATGACATCCTTTTAAGCAGACATGATCATTCATGGGCTAACACTGGTAATTTAGTGTGTCAAAAAAAGGGGGGAGGGTATCCATTTTCCCCACATGTAACTTTGAGCAGCACAAAAGTAACTGATTATCCACCTCAAACCTGCTTTCGGCAAAGTTATAGCTGGATCCAGGGACCATGGTGAATGATAGTTGTTGAGGCCTCAGCATTCTACCCTTTCCACCTTGATATAAGCACTGCTGCAGGGCCAAAGGCGGCCCAAGGAGCAGAAATAGGTGTTTGTGTTGCCCTTAGAACGATGGTGTTGACACACTAGTCCAGCTACCTTTCCTCAGTACAATCGGCCACCAGTGGTGAGTCGAAAGCTTCAGGTGTGCCAGTTGCACTTCACAGCCAGTAGACACTGATTGCTCACAAAGCACATAGAACACGATGCACCAAAGTATAAGGGATGCTCCATGGGCCAAGTTGTAGAGGACAGGGCCTCTCCTATGCCTGTGACCTTATCAAAGTCCAGGTGGTGGCACCGGTGTTCTCCTGCTGTGATCATGAAGCTTATTGCTGGATGTAGGGGTGTGCGTGTGCATATATGTATGGGGGGGGGGGGAGTTGGGTTTGATCTTGAACTGCTGCCCCTAAATGAGGCTGTTTGGTCATGCTGCTTCTCAGGCTGAATGCAACTTGTTCTCTCCCGTGTTCTATTCATAGTACACTAGGTTAATATTGGTACTGATACATTTTGTTGTCTGTGAGTAGATATAAGGAAGGAACTTTTAAGTAAAAAAAAAAAAACACCACCACCACTCTAGCATATTTTGGACCTAGGGAAAAAAATCAACTCTATTTTTAAATACCTTAGGTTATCTGTAAGATAATATGTACATTTTAATCACAGATTAGATAACCTGTCATATAATTATGAATTTAGGGCGGTGTTTAGGTTCCATACTAGGAAAGGTAATCCATTCCATGATCCCTGATTCCTTTTAATCTTACATGAAGGATTATCATATCCTCACACAAATGAGGAAACTAAAGCAAAGGTAAGTTGAGTAACTTTATATAAAGAAAAATATCACTATAGAGTAGTAATTCTACTTTAGAATTATTCATTTTCATGAGCCTGGTAATTTGAAAAAAAACTCTTGAAAGAGGGTATTATATAACAGGACTTTTCTGAATGGTGACTAAAATGCACAGCAACCATTCCATTTCCAAGTACACAAAGGTAAATTCCTTTGAATTTTATTAAGAGGCTTCTATTACTAGTTTCTAGTGCCAGACAGCTGAGTATGAATGGAAGACTTTAAATGTATTGACCTATTAAATAAAATTATTTTTCTAGCAAATTAAATGAAGATCCGAAAACCTCTGTCTGCCAAAGAAGAAAAATGCATTTTATCTTCCAAAGAGTTGTGGTACATTTTAAACAACCTGGTTTTATTTCTGTGTCTACTTGGTAATTAAGAAACTGATTCTATTTTTTTTTTTAAATATATATTTTATTGATTTTTTTACAGAGAGGAAGGGCGAGAGATAGAGAGCTAGAAACGTCGATGAGAGAGAAACACCGACCAGCTGCCTCCTGCACACCCCCCACCGGGGATGTGCCTGCAACCAATGTACATGCCCTTGACCGGAATCGAACCTGGGACCTTTCAGTCCGCAGACCGACGCTCTACCACTGAGCCAAACCGGCTTCGGCTCTATTTTTTTTTTTTTAAATAAGGCACACAAGAATAAGGTAGGTTAACTGCATATTGATCTGTTCCCAAAGAACCAAAACACCTAGAACTTGTATGAAGTATACTTGAAAAGGTATGTCTGAGTGAGGGAAGGTGGCTTTTCTTCCTTGACATCAAGTCCCAACTTTGAGAATTATTCACTTAAGACAAACAACATATATACTAAGATAAGAACTTGGTATGGTTTCATTAAAACTTTCAAAATAGTCAAACTTACAATATAAATTAGCATATTTATTAAAATTGTGACCTCCAGTTTATTAATGAAAATTGCTTATTCATAAATAATGTTTGAGCCTTGTATATAATCACCAAGAAGCTGAGAAAAAACATTTTTCCCCATTTTTTTTTCTATTCTCAATTTATTGGGGAATCTCATTCTCATGTGATAAATGTAGAGTGCAGTTTACCCACACCATCCAACTCCTGCCCTTTGTTGAACAGTTAGTTGCTGCATGATCCCATACATGCCACTCTACTAGGTTAGATATGCTGTAGAAAGAAAGCACCAAGGTTTTCACATTTATATTTTGTCTTTTGTTACTGTTCAGACTTATTGTGAAGTCCTCAGGAATTGGGCTCCCAAGGCTTGGCTCACCTACTCAGCCTATTCTGCACTAGAAACACTTGCTGCAGCCACACTGGTGTCCTTGCCCTAACAAACTGCATAGGAGAGGGTTTATACCCCTGCTTCAGTAGGAGTGCAAGTCATTCCTATTTAACCACAGGCACAGACGGCGTTAAGCAAGGAAGCATTTTTTGTAAAGGGGCAGACAGTAAATATTTTAGGCTTGGTGCACTGCATATGATCTGTTGCTTTTCTTTTTCCCTCCTCCACAAGCCTTCAAAATTGTGAAAAACAGTTAGCTCTGAGGCTGTGTAAAAGCAGGCCATACGTTGAATTTTGTTGAAATAAATTTCTAGGCCCAAATGAAGACTACTCCTGCCTGGGGTACCACCATCAGCAAACCAAACCTTGAATAAATTTTGTGTCCCTATAAATGCTCTGCTTGACCAGAAATATACTGTCATTAGCCACCCAACTCTGGGCTTCATACTTTGTTCCTTATTCTTTATCCTTTAAAAGACTCCTGCCTTCTGCCCCAGTCCTCCTGGAACTGTAGACTACCTGTTTCAGCAAGTGTTTAAAATAAAGTTTTTTTGAAACACCTAAACAGTTTTTGGTGACAAGGATAAAAGTTGACTGCTAACAGCCTGTAGGACAACAAACAAGACAGCACACAGATTAGGAGCCCACTGAACCTTTTGAGTTCACTGTTCCTCTCATCAAAGCTGAGGGCCGTTGGTAAGTCACTCTTGGATTTGAGCTCCACTCCCTTGTATGTATGTCTCCAATCTAAACACTTTATCTTAAACTACTGTTTCCGGGAAGGTTCCAGGACAGTTATAGTGGGAATCTGCGGTAGATGGTGGCTGTTAGGAAACTCAAGCCACAGCATAAACTAAACTACTAGGAGACTTGGGGAACTAAATTAAGATTGTTTTAACCAATAGCACAACAAAATATAAGCATACACCAGACAAGCCATTAGGGTGTCTGACAGTATAAAGAAAGCTTCTCAGGAAAGGAATAATAAATCTATTGTTAATAGGAATATTAGAGGCCAAAGCTGAAAAATGGTGGGTACAGGTTAAACACTTGTGAGATATTAGAGTACTCGCCACTAAAATCTAAGCCTTCTCTGCTAGCATAAGTTGGTAATGGAATACATTAGATTGAAATTAGTTCACCTACTAACCTCCAAGAAAAATTCCATGCATTGTGGTACACTGCAAAACACCACACAATCCCCAACCCCCGTAGCACATCCCTCTTAGATAGTCAAGATATTCATTTGGCTTTGAGGTGAGGAGCCATTTTTTCTGCTAAGGGCCATCTGGATATTTATAACATCATTTGAGGACCATACAAAATTATCTACTGTGGATTTCTACAAAAATGGCAAACTCTTACTGCAACAACCTAACATTACAATGACCATTATGGCAAATGTTCTAGTTAGGTAAGATCATTTCCTTACGAAGTGCACATGAAAGTAAGGGTTTCCAGATCAACAACCAGAATGGAATGCCTATTTTAGTTGGTATGCACATGACCCCTCCTCCCCCACAAAGGATTCAAAATTCCAAAAGGCTAAATAAAAGACACAATATGTGCCCTGGCTTGTATGGCTCAATGGATGAAGTATCAACCTGTGGACTGAAAGGTCCGGGGCTTGATTCTGGTCAAGGGCATCTTGCCCGGGTAGCAGGCTCGGTCCCCAGTGGACCAGAGGCAGTTGGTCGGTGGTTCCTTCTCGATCCCAGGCCCTGGCCAGGAGACAACTGAGCAATGTCTCTCTCTGTTTCTCTCTCCCCTCCCAACACCCCCCCAAAAAAAATCAATGAAAAAAATATCCTTCACTATTAAAAAAAAAAAGCCAAGACCGGTTTGGCTCAATGGATAGAGTGTCGGCTTGGGGACTGAAGGGACCCGGGTTTGATTCTGGTCAAGGGCATGTACCTTGGTTGCGGGCACATCCCCAGTAGGGGGTGTGCAAGAGGCAGCTGATCGATGACTCTCAGCGATGTTTCTAGCTCTCTATCTCTCTCCCTTCCTCTCTGTACAAAATCAATATATTTAAAAAAATATTTTTTTAAAAAGCACAATGGTGCAAAATTAAAATATTTATGTTCAAAGGACAAAATTTTTATGGATAATAAAATTATAAACTGTTGAACAAAAAAATAGAAACAGAGACAGTAAAGCATCAAACAGAATGTTAAATTACAGCGGGAAGGTTAGAGAGGTGGGGGAGATAAGATCAACCGAGAGACTTGTGTGCATGCATATAAACATAACCAAATGGACGCAAAACTCTGGGGTGGGGGGAGACAATGGTAAGATATGTACACCTATAATACCTAAAGAAGAAAAAAAAAAATGCAGATAAAGTGATGTTTTTTTTTCCCCCTAGCTTTTAAGAAGTCGGCCTGGAAAGCTAAGGTTTTTATCAAAATAAACTCCCCCAAATCAAATTCTAAAGCCTTGTTTACTTCGAATTAACTGGAGACGTTCCAGGAAGGGTTAGGGGTGCAGTTAAAGATCCATATATAACTTCTGACTCCCCCCAAATTTAGTAGCCTACTATTGACCAGAAGCCTTACCAATAACATTAACATAGATTTCATATGTTATAAAAAGTATATGAATTATATACTGTATTTTCTTAAAATGTAAGCTAGAGAAAAGAAAATGTTAAGAAAATCATAAGGACAATACATTTACAGTATTGAAAAAAAATCTGTATTAAGTGGACTCACACAGTTCAAACCCATGTTGTTCAAACCCATGTTGTTCAAAGGTCAACTGTAAAAGAGAAATGTTAAACCAATTAAGCTTATTTGATATGTTAAATGTTTATTTAACTTTCTTAAGTTATATTTGTATGGGTATAAATGATTTTAGAAACTGTATAAAATTCCTAAAAACCAGGTATATCCTGGTATTTCGTTACATCACAGAAATAACGATTTCCTTGTCAAGTCAATTATTATATAGCCTTCTGTCATTTACAGTTATTTTTTTACTCTAGTCCTTTTGCAAAAGTAAAATTCATGGAAAAGATCCTACGTACTCTTGACTACTGACATCACTGCCAAATTTCAAGGTGTCAAAATCTGAGGTGTATATTTCATAACTGAAGAATGCTCTGACTTCTGGTACTTTGTAAACAATAGACCTCAAAATCAAATTGACTAGGAAGAGAAGTAGCCAACATCGAGGTCAACTGCTGCTTCAGGAGGACCAAGAACGATTTCTCCATTCCCTCTTTGACCATCCATTCCCTAATTTTTACACCATAAAAGTATTTATAACTCTTCTGTCAACCTTTTATTCTCCTTAACCTGGAAGATGCCTTTGTTCACTCTCTTCAGGCCATTACAAAGGAGGGTAATCCAACCTTCAACACATACTTATTCTGATTTCTAATGCCTCAGTTTCTCTAAAACAAGCTTGCAGAATAATTCTGGGAAACAGTTACATGAAATACACAAACAAGACAACTGGCTTAAAAAAATGTATCCTCCTCTTTGGAATCATTTCTTGACTTGGTTCTAGTTGGTCTAGGAACCTTGGCTCAGGAGCATACTGCAAGCTGTGGGTATTAATAATGGTTGCTACTGTGTTCTCTCAAAAGTTTGAGTCACACTAGTATATTAAAAACAAACACAAACCTTTTGAATAGTCGAGAGGATGGCCGAAAGGAGTGGAGGCTGTTGAAATAAATTTCTAGGCCCAAGGTTGCGGTCTCTAGAAAGTCTTCGCTTGACCAGAAATGCATTATAACCAGCAAGCCAGTTCCAAATTGCCAAGCCAATCTAGGCCTCCAATTTCTTTTGTTGCTTATTTTTCATTCTATAAAAGCTTCCTACATTCTGCTCCATGTTGCAGTTTTCTGGACCCTTAGGACTGTAGATTGCCTGCTTTACGGTTCAAAGTTTGTTAAATAGAGCCTCAACAATCTTGAGAAAGAAGAACAAAGTTGACGGGATCATAATACTGGATACCAAGTTTACTACAAAGTTTCTGTTGTCAAAACAGTCTGGT